TGTGCAATACAGAGTAAGAGATTTACACTGTATTTGGTGCTGATTTAAAGATAAGCTAGAAAAGAAGTAAATACAGCTGAGCATGATTAGTCTGCAACAATTGAGAATGTGCAAATACAGACAGCATACAACTCGACTTCTCCACAGGACATGGCACAGAGACTCAAGGGATTCGTCACAACTCAAGTCTTTCAAAGGATGTCTTGAAGCCAAATCTTAATTTCAAACAAGTTGCTACAGTTCCATCTTTCCCTCTGGAATTACTTCTACTGCATTAAAATACGATCATGCTTGCTATTGGGTCGAGATAAAGCCAGCATTCTAGTCTCTTGCTGGACAGCTGATTTTATTTCTCACATACTTATTTGAGTTGGCAGATCTAACAAGCAACTGTGTTAAAGAGACCTGCCTGTGAAATTCATGAGGGAGCCTTCTGGGGTTTGCCCTTTCCCCTTTCAATATGAAAGCAAATCATGCCCGTCTAGACTCAAGAGTGCCATATAAAACTGCTTAAGAGACTGTGTCTGCCACAGTGTGAAAGAATTATGAGGAATTCTCATGGTATGGGGAGATGAGCTTTATTTAGGGCATCAAAATGTATAATAGGAGGGGTTTCTATCATGCCCCGGGGAGAATTGTCATAGTTACAACAGATCACCTTATATTCTTTTGTCCTTCTTTTGTCCTACTGTCCTGAGAATGATGGCTCTTCTATAAACTAATGTTTTCTAGTTTGCTGTCATCAATGGCTTTTCACAACATCTTAGCAGAGGCATTTTTATTCATATGTTTGGTTAGCATACAGCTTAGGAATTCATAGCATCATGAATGTTTAAAAGTCGAGCATGGGTCTTTTTAAGATTCTAAATTATTTTTCTTTGGTTTTCACTTCCTAGCAAAAAAATAATAAAACTTGATCAAAATGAGATTCATACCAAGCATGAAAATATTAATTAAATATATATAATGAAATAGATCATGTATAGACCCACTTTATAGATATATTGATATATTTAGTATACATATGTATATGCCCATATGATACATCTATATGAAAGCTCCACTATGTGAAAAGCCCTTTGATAGGTGTCCTAGATAAAATTAAAACACATAATAAAGGCTACCTCTTTCTTGGAGAAGTTTACAATTTATCTTGAAATACACATGAACACTTATTGCGAATTATGTGACAAGACAATGTGAATGGTAATCGTAACTATTGTTAAAATAGTGCACATTTTTTCTTTATAACTGGCTTATTCATACAGCTGTGGAAATATTGATTACAGACTACCCCTTACTTAAAGTAGTGTAAGGGCCATGAACACCTAGGGAATCAGTTCTCATTTTACTTAGCAAGAATAAAAAATAAAAGCAAAACAAAATAGAGGCATCATTTGCCTTTTACTAATTGATGTAAAACCTCTTCGGTGAGTTCATCATGTGAGTAAACCTAGGCTATCTGCTCCTTTACAGAGGTTTTAAGTACTATGGCAAGTTCCAAGTCTTATTTTTAAATGTCAGAACACACAAAAAACCCTAAAAAGAGAGGGTTTTATGATTTGGGGATGATTTAGTGTGTAGATTTCTGTAAATTCCTATGAGAAGGCAGCATGAATGAGAAGAGAGAAGAAACATTCCTCAATGTAGTATGTTGATTCTGAGATAAGCCAAGAATCAAGATTATTGAAGACATGGGATGGGCTTAGAGGAGAAGAGCTGTCAATGAGGGAACAAACAAATCATCTGGGGGATGGTCCCGCTTGAAGCCCTGACTCGAGGGGGGGGCAAGGGCAATATATGTAACCTTAACATTTGTAACCCCATAATATGCTGAAATAAAAAAAAAGTTCTGGAGCAAATCATCGATTGTTATTACTTGGGTTACTCTGTGATTGTGCTTCCAGCTTGGCAATCAGATGAAGGGAGATTTTTTTACTAATCAGGATCTCAATTTGTGGTGCATTGATGTGAGGAAGCATAAATGGAGCATCAAGAAACACTCTTGCCACCCTCATGTACCTCATCCTCATAAAAAGCAGATAAAGTTTCCCAAAGGAAAACATGGTATTATTAGAGAAGGGATTAAAAAAAGAGCAAGCGAAAGAGAATGATATTCCCCTATTTGTGTATTATTATAGTGCACAACATGTAGCTGGTTTAGTAAGCCAATTTTTTCCTAAATGAAAAGTCATTTTAAGAACCATCAAACCTATAAAGCCAAGTCTCCAATATTTTTTTCCACTGGAAAACCTAATTTTTATTTCACTACAGGGGAGAAAAAATTACCAGTAATTGGGGAAGGGGTCATAATGGCTGTAAATAAACTGGGAGAGCATTGAGGGAAGGCAGACAGAACTGACACTGTCCTGCATCAGCTCACTATGTGAAAGGCCAAGGACCAGGGAAAGGGATTGAGGGTGGCTATGGTTGTGTCTCCTTGTATAATCTGATTTGCCTTAAAGTGAGAACAAGTGGTCAGAAGTAACCACTGGAAAGACATACTGTAGAAGGAGTTTAGGATATACCCTAATCCAATATGACTGGTGTCCTTATAAAGACGTAAATTTGGACACAAACATGCATATGAGGAGAAAATTATGTGAAGATAAAGGCAGAGATCAAGGTAATATTTCTACATGCCAAAGAATTCCAAAGATTGTCAACCAACCTCCAGAAGCTAGCATAGAACAGAATCTCCTTCATGACTCTCAGAAGGAACCAATCCTATGAGCACCTTGATCTCAGACTCTAGCCTCCACAACTGTGAGAAAATATTTTTTTGTTGTTTATGCCACCCAGTGTGTGGTACTTTGTTATGATAGCCCTAGAAAACTAATACAGAGACCTAGACTCCCTCTACCTGTGGATCTCCAAATTAAAAAGACTCGCTTCGGTTTTCCACTCAATGTGGGTAGGGTGGGTCTGCTACAATGCATTTTCCTTCTTACATTTCCTTCTAAACTCTCTTTAAGATCAGAGCACTCATTCAACAAAGATCCATGAGTGCTCTCTAGTGACAGACACTGTTTTAGGCAATGTTACCAAATATGGTTGTAAATAAGACAGGCAAGTAAGTGTTCACACCTTGGAGCTCACAGAATATTGGGAGAATGCAATAAACAAAGAAACAAATAGTATGAAATAAAGTAGATAAAGAAGGTAGAGAGTAACAAGAGAATGGGAGCATACTTATGAATATTTATGTTTCTATCCCTTTCCCTGAGTTGCACTGATTTTGGAGGATCTTTCCCAAAGGCTCTATTAGAATCCCCTCTTATAGAAGTTCACCCTTAATCTGGGTCCCTCTATCTTATATCCAAGACTGGGCAAGAAATTAAACATATGATCAGCATTTGCCTGCTTTCCACTTCTTAAGGCCTGTGTAATGAATGCACTGATGGATCCCACACATATAAAAGCCATAATGGCCAGGTTCCCTCAGTGCAAGTCTGCTGTACATGCCCAGAATTTGGTATGTCAGGGTGAGCCTGGGCTCCCATGCTGATCCTCAGTGAATGGTATTCCCTTTTTCACTAGATGCTCATATTGTCCTTTTCAGATAACTGGACACAGGTCTAAGTTTCTTTCATATGAGTTCTGGTGATCATTACTCATATCCTAGAACTCAATACCAACTATCATCTGGAAAGCCTGATATGTTATTTAGCTCCTGGCACCCTTCCTTCTAGGTCTGCTTCTTATGCCCACCTCTCACTATTCCAATGTACCAAACAAATACCACATGTAAGACTTCCGGCCTTGACATTCAACTAGAACAAGTTGCCATCATTGTCTACTACTAATACCACTCTGGCTTCTTCTCCCTTTGCCCTAGCCTCATGTTATGATATTCTGACCAACCCAAAGCAGACCACAGTTCACAGAAATAGAAGTATTTGCATAAATGAATAAATTAATAATAAATGAGCTAATCTTGAACATATCTTCCTTTCATTTTTTTCTTAAATTTTTATTACTTTTTAAAATTTCAGATCCCTTTCATGTCTCCCCTGGACTATTGCATATTTTTTTACTGATTAGCTTTCCTATGTGTGACATTGTTATTCTTCAATTCATCATCCATATTGCTACTAGATTATATTTGTTAAAATGCAAATATAATATTGTTGCCTTTTTACTTAAAACTGTTTACTTCCACCAGTCATTCATAGGTCCAGTGTCTACAGGATAAAGAACCAATCCTAGAGCATGCCTTTCTTTGGTCTTCAATGCCAGATTCTAATCAGAGTCTCTTTTTCTGTCATGATTCCTTATACACTGAATTATTTATACATAATTGGCTGGTTCCTTTCACATCTCTGTATTTTTTTCTCCTGTAGTCCCCTTTGCCTTTCCCATTTCTATGGTGGTTGAAATTCTATTCAAGATCAATTATAAACAGCTTTTTAAAAGCCTTTCTTACTTGCTATGGTTTGAATGTCCCCTCCAAAGTTCATGTTGAAATTTAATTCCCAATGTGCCAGAATTGAGAGGTGGGGGGAAAAACACCACATGTACTCAATATTAAATTGGAATGAATTATTCAACACTTATGTACACATATGGAAGTAAAACTCAACAAAAATCAAGCAGGGGGGATGAGGGAGGAGGAGAAGGGTAAATTCACACATAACAGGTACAATGCACACTATCTGGGTGAAGTGCACACTTATAACTTTGACTCAAACTGTACAAAACCAAATTGTGTAAACAAAACATGTGTACCCCCATAATATTCTGAAAATTTTTTAAAAAGGAGGTAATTGGGTTATGAGGGCTTTTTCCTCATGAATGGATTAATACATTCATGGGTTAGTGGGTTAATGGATTACCCCACCAGCAAGAAGGCCCTCACTAGATGTGGACCCTTGACCTTGGACTTCTCAGCCTTCATAACTGTAAGAAATAAATTCATTTTCTTTATAAATTATCCAGTTTCAGACATTCTGCTATAAGCAACAGAAAAAAGACTAAGGCATTATTGATCCCAGACTTACCTTCTCTTATGTCTTCCAGGGACCTTTCTTCATATTGTTGTTGTATCATTGATGACATCACAATATGTTTAGATGGAAAGCCTTCTGCTTACCCAGATATGAGGTCCTTAGGATAGTCTTGTGTCTTTTTCATCTTTGTACTCTAATTCATGGACAATACTTGACACACTATAGCAGCTGATCTATAAATATTGGTGAAATAAATAAAATTAAGATTCAGAATTATAAACAGCCTCCAACTGACAGATGCACTGTCATTTGGAGATTTTTCAAAAACCTATCTGTGGCAAACATTCATTACTTATTGGAGTGCAAATTTATGTTAATTTTCTGGAATGCAATTGTGTAATATATTTCAAAAACCTTGAAATATTACTGTTCTTTGAACTGTAAATTCTACTAAAGAGCAGCCCTCTAAAGGAAATCATAGATGCCAAAATTAAAAAAAGTTTTTGAGTTGTAAGTGATGGATACCCAACCCTAAATAATTTAAACAAAAAGTAGAAATGTGGCTGCTCCTAAAGCTAGAAAGAATATTATGGAAGTTTACAAAATTGAAAGAAGACTTTCAGCACCCAGGCTCCAAGATCAAGCAGTAGGAACCAGTATACACTAGGGATCTCCTATTGTTCCTCTTTGCTAGTTTGACTTAACTTCATTCTTCAGGTAAGTTTCTTTCAAGGAAGAAAATATGGCTCCTGACAGCTGCAAATTCCCATTCTTTCTGCTTACCAACTCCAGAGGCAAAAAAAACCTTTTAAAAAAAATTCTTCTAGCATCTTTCTACCAAACCAGAAAAAATCTTGGATTGACCTACTTATGTCATTTGAACATCCCTTGACCAATCATTGTTTGCAAGAGAATGGGATGGAGAATTCTTTTTAGCTAAAATAAGAATCCTAGGATATAAAAAAGATAGATATATAAATAAAGCAAAGCATACAACTACTATGAGTCAGAGGATTATGTTCTAGGACATGCACTACATTATAATATTTAAAAAAAATTTTAAAGCAGATATCTATCTATAGCTATGTGGTTAAACAAATTATTACCTATATATGATATAACATTAAAACTGTAACCATCATTAAAACTGTTTTTATAGAATATTTAAGAATGTGAAATTTTGATTGTGATATTACAACAGAATTTTAAAAAGATATATTTGCAGAAACACACCAAAAATTTAAAGTTATCTTTAGAGTATGGATCTATAGGTTATCATATTTTCTTCTTTACATTTTTCTGGATTTTCCAAATTTTTTATACTGATCATTAATTTTAAAATGAAATATTTTAAAATATCTGATAAATATCAGGAAATAGAATATATTGTCTGTCCTTAGTGCTGTCAGATGAGAGTTTGTAAGCCTGGTAGAGAAGCTATATGAAACCACAATAGCATTTTCTTCACTACCATCCTTCCTTGTAGGTCCAAAGTAGTAATTGAATCTTCGGGTTATAGGAGAAATATTTTTGTGGTTTTTTTATTAGAATTTATTATATTCATATGTGAGTGTTGGCAAGGCTCCTCTGAAATTCACGTTTGAACTCAGCTACTCAAGAATTAATATTCTGCTAGTAACATGTTTGAAAGCAAAGTCATATTATCTATGTTTATTGACTGTGTGAGTCGAGGTAAATTTGAAAATTCAAATACATGGCATATCTAGTGACAGTGCAGTCCTGTATCTTATTGCCAGATTGGAACCTTATGAAGCAATGAGCATTTTAAAGATCAAGTCCTCATTTATGGAAGTCTTTTATATTTTATATTGAGAGAAGTAATCTCAAACCCCATGGGATGACATTGTAAGGTAAAAGGTATGAGAGCAGGTCAAAGAAATCAAGTTACTCTTCTGGCAAACCCAGAAGAGAACTAAAGGTATTCTTAATAGAGTCACAAACTATAAAACACTAATTGTAACTCTGGCAACCACAAGAAATTCAAATTACTTGGCACTGATATCTCCATAAATTACAGTAACTTTAGGGAAGGGGGATAGTGTCAAGTCTCTTAAGTATCTAGTTGAAAGTTTTTTGAAGCTGTAAAAGTAAGCCTTAGCCATAAACATGTCTTATTTCACTAGACACTTGGCAGAAATCCCAGATATAAATGAGCAAAGAAAGCAACAAAGATGGGAGAGCATTTAGTGGAAGGAGTGCCTGAGTGTTTATGCTGAAACTAAAAGAGTTTTTTGTGAGACTATTTCAATAATTTTTATAGCTTGTGAAATTTGTTCTTACTTAGGTCACTGATAATAATAATAAGAAAATATCCCAAACACCAACATATAAGAACCATTTCTTTGACATTTGTCTTTCACTTCTATTATGCAGAAATTAAAGGCACACTGGAATTCAAGCTGAATTATTTACTACCTCAACTCAGTGGATAAATGTCATTTTTCCAGGGCAGTTTAAGATATAAAGATATAGCATAAGATAAAACAAAATGCATCTCAATAACTATCTAGTGAAAATGGGTCAGTTTTAATATTCAACTATTTTGGTTTTAGCTCCATTGCAGAACTCATACCCAATGTATCATTTTAAAATTAATCTTTCATGGTCTTGGATATACTGATGTTTGGTCACAAATTGTGTTATGTTTTTGGCTTTTGGCCTTGCCATCTCACCTCTAAACAAAATAAAGAAACAAAATAATAAAGAAACAAAAGAAAACAAAATAAAACAAAAATCCAAATTAAAGAATTACCCTTCATCTGTCTTTTCAGTCTTGCTTGACTAACTGTTTCTTTACTTTTGATAGCACATAACCTGTCCCATCTCTCAAACTTTGAAATCTGGTATCACTTTTTATTTATAATTACCCATCCATATCATCAATATTTACGTTGACCAATTTGTTTTCCAAATCTCAAGGATTACTGTCTCTCATGGAATGATGTTCAATACCTTGAAAACCAATGTTTCATATATTTTGTCCACTTTTTGTTTTTAGTTGTTTCATGTGGAAGGGTAAATCCAGTACTTATTACAACATCTTGGCTGGAAACATAAGTCTGGTGCCAGTTTATAAAAAATATTATCCTTTACCCTTCTCATGTGGCTAAAAGTCAGGCTGACCAGTCTCTTTAATGTCCTTTGAGGATCACCCATTCTTTTTGAAACTCTTCATTTAAGACTTAGTTCAATCCTCCTACAGTAGAACAGAACATTAGTCACTGACTCTCCCACCATTTATATATCTTTTGGTACCAACCTGCCTTTAATAATGTGGCCCCAATCAACAATTTTAGCTCTTCTGAGTGTCAACAGTCACAGTGGAAGCAATGACCATAAAGGATATGATTTGTGGCAAAGATATTTCTCTAAGATTTTGGGTTGAGTCTGTGTATGCAAAGCCAGATATAAAGTGGAGGAAATCATGTGAATAATTCAAGTTAAGAAAATATTAAACCTCCATTTGTTGGATGTGTCAGATAAATAGTCTTTGAACTTGACATATATGGAATTGCATAAATTCTTCATTTGTGTCGCACTGATGGGAACAAATCAAACCTCAAGTTTTCTTGATGCCTATATTTCTTACAAGGTGAATCTAGTTTCTTACAAACTGAATCTAGTGCCTTTCCTGATTTTGCTTTTTGAATATTTGAATAACATAAACTTAAGAAATGAGAATGGGAAATGAGAAATGAGGTGGGATGGGCCAAATATGATTAGAAGTACTTGGAAATGATTCCAGGAAATTTACTTCTACAGAAAATTGTTACCTGCAATTCAATATGACAAATATATGCCAGTTTTTAGTTAACTATTTATTTCTTAAGTAGATTACGTGGAAGAAGGGCTTTTTAAAAATATTTGTATTTCTCATGAATAGGGCACTGGATAACATATTGTGGATGATCAGTGAATGCCAAATTTGAAAGAACTAAGTGAATCATTGTAGGCCTCTAATTTTGTGGCCTCTGAAGCACCAAAGGGCTTTTTGAACAGTATGTATACAAACAATCCATATTAGAACAACTCAGTGACTATTTGGTATAATCAGCTTCTGCTTTTCTCATGTGGTCTCTCTTCCAAAATTTTTTAATAATATAAAATCACTCAGGTGGATATAGCATACTCTAAGTCTTTAAGCTAATGTTTGTTTTTATGCATCCTTCAAATCTACTTTTAATATATCTTGGTCGATCTGGAGAGAACATGTAGACACAAATATTTGTCATTGTGATCCCCACAAAACAGGAGCAAATATGCTGCAGCGCTCCAGGCCATTCCTAATTCTGCCAGGGACAATAGTAGAAGATTTTTGCCAATCTGCTCTAACTCTGGGAGATCCACCCTCATTTGTCAATGGAAAAGCATATCATGTGGTTATCCCATCTTATATATTGGATATCAGACAAGGCATAAAGAACTACAACTACAATGGCATGTCATTTTCATTATTACTAAACAAGTCCCCTTACTAGAGGAAGAGAAACATATGCCTCTGTACAACTTGACAAGTGAATATTTATTTTCTAATCTTTTAATATGCCCAGTGTGTTTAAGATGGAAAGACTGAGCTCAGACGTGACAGCCTTGAACATAGCATGTCACAAAGGCCAGGATCTGGCCTGTATAACAATACTGGCTGGCTATCACTGTGCTATCACAGTGAAATCCCAAGGGCTCGCCTTGGGGGCCATTCAGGTGTCCTGTTGTAGTATTTAGAAAGAAAGCCATAGAGACATTTTAAAGGCCATTTCAGACTATCTGTGAGCATCTAGGGAGAGAAACACACTGTGCTGAGAATTATAAGAACCTTTGGTCTTTTTAACTTTTCCACAGCCTTCATGAGAAGGCAACAAAAAGAGAGAGCAGAAAAGAGACACAGCTTATTTGGCAGCAGGCTTAGGCATGAGCCATTGAGTCAAGGTTACCTCTGCTATTCTGTGAAGAGGACTCTGATAAGTCATCCAGTAGGCAACATATCTCTCTGTCCTCTTTGGTCCAGCAAAGAAAGAACAAGTTGCAGTCCTCTAAGGAGTAAAAAGAAAACGTTGTGAATCCACTTTAAAGTATGGAAACACATCAATCTTTTCTTTGAAGCTCTGGTCTTCTTTAAAGTACAAAAACTAAGAGTCACTTCTATCAAATTATCAAGAAAAATAAGTAACCCCTGCAAGTGAGGCCCATATTGTTTGGGGAGGTAACGATGTGAGAAAAATAGAACTCAAATAATATAGGCATGAACAGTTTTATTAAATGGTCTGGAAGATAGCTCAGAGTTGTAGCATTTTGGAAAGCAAATGGTCTGTATGTTTTGTCAAAATGCAAAAAAGACTTACATATCAATCAGTGCCCAGATCAGGAGGACAATATAAAAACAAAAAGGAAGAATTGAGTACAAACTCAGAAGTCAAAAATACTAATAAGGGGGCGGAGCAAGATGGCGGACGAATAACACCGCCAGACAGAGGGTCTCTGCAGAAAAGACCGATTCTAGCAGAAACTAGAGGAAAGAAGCAAGAAGACGAGCATACAGCGGACAAGGGCCGGAAGGAGGGGTACCTGAGACCCCGGAGACTCACGCGGAGGGAAGCTGCGGAGCGAGAACTGGAGGCTGAGACCGCCGCAGGCACCGAGACCAGCGCAAGGGTAGGTGGACTGCTGTTTCCCTCCCCTGCATTCGGGACGCTGGTGGGCTCCCAGCGGGTGGAGAGACCTGCGGACATCAGCCCAGAGACTGCCGCCGCCTGCCAACGGTGAGCCTGTAGCAGACGTGGCACCAGGTTCCCAACTTCCTCCGGGCACCTCCGTGTACACGGACCGAGCCGCGCGGCAGGCGCCATATTGCCTCCTCCTCCCCTCCGCCGACCTACCCACGGCTGCCCAGAGAGACATACAGCCACCAGCCGGAGCACCTCCAGGGAACAGGACCTTCCATTTGGGACCCGCCCGCCTCCCAGGTGCTGCGCACCGTGTTCCCAGAAAACGGTCCGACTCAAAGGCTGAGACATAGACCCAGCTTGGGCTCCCTGTGGGTGAATTAGGACCGGAAATCCTCTCCCTGGTGGGAATACAGTTTGAACTCTGGACCCAGAGGTCGGACCTGCAGACAATCCCCTGCACCGGGGCTAGCATTGCCCGGGGCACAGAAGGTTATACGTGAACAGCCTACTGAGGACTGGTGTGCCTCCAGGGGCGGATCGGCGCCCTAGAGAACAACCCTCCTCCCAGGAGGAGGCCGTGCGCCCGACCCAGTTGGCATTCCTGTGCAGGGAACCTCCCCACCGCACACAGTCCGGGGAGCCTGGTGGCTTGTGGTCTGGCCTGCTGGCAGAGGCCCAGGAGTAGCTGCAGAGTTGGGAGGGTGGAAAGAAGCGAGGCCTGCTGCAGACTGCGGTCTCAGACAGCCCCACCCCCACACCCAGACTTTCTGGCTGAGCGGGACCATTCAGCCCCGCCTTGACAGCTTCCCGGAAGCTTAGACAGAACTTTGACCCCTGCTAACGGCCTGAGGCAGGCTTATCCAACCCAGCTCCGCCCAGAACGAGAGCTGATAACAGGACTCAAATAACACCATAGCCTGTTCCTCCAAGCAAACGCACCTACTGACAGGGACGGCATCTTGCACAGCCTTCCACGGAATCCACTGACTCAATATACAGGAGTGGTCCAATTTCACCCACAGGCACCACTAACGCCTCAGAAACTAAACAAGGTGTGTGAATACCCAAACAATAAACAGGAAAGAAACAACAACTGATCAACATGGGAAGAAATCAGCGAAGAACTCAGGAAATATGAAGAACCAAACAGAAACACACCCCAAGGAGGAGCACCAGCCCCTAGAAACGGACACCGACAAAATCAGGCAACCAGTATGACAGAAAGAGATTTCGTATGTGGACCATAAGAACACTCACCCAGGTGCAACAACAACTCAATAACCAACACCAAGAAAACAAAAAACTCCAAGAATGGAACAAAGGTTCAACAAAGAGATTGACACAGTGAAGAAAACTTTAACCGAAGTCCTGGAGATGAGAATCAACTCAGAGACTACAAATACTGTGGAAAGTCTCAAGAACAGGGTGGATCAGCAGAAGAAAAGAATCTCAGAGCTTGAAGATAACACCTTCCAATTAATAACACTCACAGAAAACGAGCAGAAACAAGAGAAAAGACCAAAGCTACAAGAGCTGGTGATTATTGAAAAAACCTAACGTGAGGGTCATAGTTTAGCCGAAGGGAGGAAGACAACACTCAAGGGCTGACAGCTTTTGAAGATATAATAGAGGAAAATTTCCCAGCTTGCTCAAAATCTCGATATACAAGTTCAAGAGCCCAGAGACCCCTGGGATTCAATGCAAACAGGAAGACGTCACGTCATGCAGTCATCAGACTGACCAAAGTTCAACTAAAGAGGCCTTCTAAGACTGTAAGACAAAAGAAGCAGTAACATACAGGAAAACCAATTCGAATAACATCAGACTTCTCTAATGAGACTTTACAACAAGAGAGACTGGGCCCCATTCCACCTCTTTTGAAACAAAACAATGCCCAGCTAGAATATTATTCCCTGCAAAACTAAGCTTCATATATGAAGGAAATAAAAATTCTCAGACAAGCAAAGGCTCAGAAATTCACCAAGACAAGACCAGCCCTACAAGAAGTACTTAAAACAGCGTTATGCACGAACAATCATAAAAATCCACGGATATAAAAACAACCAAAACCAAAGATATTAAAGGCCAGATATTCAATGGCTCAAGACAGAAATACATAGCAACAACATCCAACCCAACGAGAGATCAGTAATCTACCTTACCTATCAGTTCTCTCAATAAATGTGAATGGCTTAACTCTCCACTCAAGAGACATAGGCTGGCTGAATGGATAAGAAGTACAGGCCAAGTATATGCTGTCTTCAGGAAACACATCTAACCTGCAAGGATGCACATAGACTAAAAATAAAAGGGTGGAGATCAATATTCCAAGCAAAATAAGAAGCCAAAAGAAGGCTGTGTGGCGTTCTAATTTCAGACGGATTTAGTTTTTAAACAACAAAAGTAGTAAAAGACAAAGAGGGTCATTATAATGGTGAAGGCACAGTCCAACAAGAAGAGATAACAATTGTAAATATATATGCACCAATAGGTGCACCCAGATTCATAAAGAAAACCTTACTGAGCCAAGCAAATGATTAATAGCAACTCCATAATCGCCGGGGATTTCAACACCACTGACAGCACGAGACAGATCCTCCAAACGAAAATTAATAAAAATAATGGACTTAAACAAAACTCTAGAACAATTGGGTCTGACAGACATCTACAGAAATTCTACCCAAAATCCACTGAATATACGTTCTTCTCATCAGCTCACGGCCATTCTCTAAGATTGACCTATCCTAGGACACAAAGAAAATCTCAAGAAATTAAAAAAAGAAATCATACCATGTACCTCTCAGATCACAGTGGAATAAAACTAGAAATCAACCCTAACAGAAACTCACATCCTACACACAAAAACGTGGAAATTAAAACAACTCCTACTAAATGATTACTTCGTAAAGAAGAAATCAAGACGGAAATAAAAAACTTCTATGAAGAAAACGACAATGGAGAGACAAGTTATCAACTCCTCTGGACACGCTAAAGCAGTTCTGAGAGAAAGTTTATCTCCATAAATGCTATAACAAAAGGCAGAAGATCACAAATAGACAATCTAATGAAACGACTCAAAGAGCTGGAAAAGAAGAAGCGACCACCCCAAACCCAGCAGAAGAAGTGAAATCAACAAGATCAAATCAGAACTAAACAAAATTGAAAACAGGAAAGCATTCAGGAGATAATAAAAACAAAAGTTGGTTCTTTGAAAAAATAAACAAGATTGACACGCCGTTGGCTAAGCTAACGAAAGCAGAAAAGAGAAATCTCTAATAAGCTCCATCAGGAATAAAAAAGGAGATATCACAACTGATCCAAAGAATACAGATACAATTATGAATACTACAAAAATCTTTATGCACACAAACTGGAAAATGTGGAGAAATGGACAAATTTCTAGAACACACAGCCTCCCCTAGGCTCAACCAGGAAGAAATAGATTCCCTGAACAGACCAATCTCAACAGCTGAAATAGAAACAGCATTAAAAATCTCCCTAAAAAAAAGTCCCAGTCCAGATGGCTTCACAGCTGAATTTTACCATACTTACAAAGAAGAACTAGTACCTATCTTGCAGAAACTATTCACAACATCGAGAAGACGGAAACCTCCCCGACACCTTTTATGAAGCGAATATTACTCTGATACCAAAACCAGGAAAGGATGCACACAAAAAAGAAAACTACAGACCAATATCCATAATGAACATAGATGCAAACATTTTCAACAAAATCTTAGTAACCGAATACAGACACTTATCAAAAAATAATCCACCACGACCAAGTGGGCTTCATCCCAGGGATGCAGGGATGGTCAACTACGTAAACTATAAATGCAATTCACCACATAACAGAAGCAAAACAAAGACACATGATTCTTTCAATAGATGCAGAAAAAGCTTTTGACAAAATTCAACACCCTTTCATGATACGAACACTTAAGAAAATAGGCATAGAAGGAATACCTAAAATGATACAAGCACATATATGACAGACCCATCAGCCAACATCATACTGAAGGGAAAGATTGAAATCATTCCCACTGAGAACTGGAACCAGACAGGCTGCCACTACATCTCCATTCTGTTCAACATAGTGCTGAAGTCTTGCTACAGCAATCAGACAGGAAAATGGAACAAAGGTATCCAATAGGGCAGAAGAGATCAAACTTTCTGTTTGCTGATGATATGATATTGTATCTAGAAAACCCCAAGGATTCAACAAGAAACTCCTGGAACTGATCAATGAATTTATAAAGTCTAGGATCAAAATTAATACACAGAAATCAGAGGCATTCATATACGCCAACACAATCTAATTAGAACAAAATCAAAGATCATTCCCTTCACAATAGCA